CATCTGCCCGCCTCCATGGTGAGGTCACAGCAGTGGATGCCTCCGCACCCCATCCCTGCTTGAAGAGGGTTTCTGCTCACAATCCTTCACTCCCTTTGCCCATCAGAAACTTTCCTGTGACTTCCTGACCCTCCCCAGCTCACGCCAGCCCATCTAGGGACCATCCTGGGTCTGTGACTGCCCTGGAGACAGGAGAGCAGCTAAGGTGACAGACCACAGCAGCTGCAGGCTGGCAGAGTCTCCTCCCACACTCTCCGACCTGGTCTGCTAGTCTCCAAATTCCTGGGGAGGATGGCTGGCACAGGCTGGGCAGTGGGGTGTAGCCTCTGAGTCCTCAATTCCAAATGGACCCAGCCAGCGCCCAATGGTCTGCAGGGAGGCTACGCAAAGTCATGAGACTGCTCCACCCACAGGCGTCGCTAGGGCCAGGCCATATTTCCCAGATTCCCCCCGCACACACACACACACACACACCTAGGAACGCCAAAAGACGCCTGCACCCCCACACTCATAGCGCTCATTTTCACGATGGGAGGAGGGGGAATGCCAACTTTCTGGAAGCCAAGTCCACACTAGGCAGCAGGGCCCACTGCCCACAGCTGCCAGGACAGGATGTGGGCAGAGGTGAGGGGGTCACGGAAACCCAGGCCCACAGCAAGTGCTGCCTGCTGGTGTGGGGGGCTATTTATAGTCCACAACAAAGGGGTGACCTCAGCGACACCCGAGCCCCCGGCAAGCTGCTCAGAGGCCCCAGGACACCACAACTCCCAAGGCTCCGGCTTGTGGAACGCCAAAGCGGAGACCCCAAGATCAGGATCAGCATGGAGCCACAGATTGAGGGATGCTGCCTGCCCTGTGGGGGGGGGGGGGTTGGGAAGAGGGGGTTGGCAGAAAGCGGGAGGGAGACACAGTCCAAAGCAGCAAGTGCTCACATGCTCCATTGCCTTACATGGGGAGGCTGCTGTGCCAACACAGCCTGTGGCACAGTGTCACAGCCAAGGGCAGTCTCTGCAGTGCCAGTCAGGCACCGCGAGGGGCGCCCTTTCCCGGATACACGGGGACATAGGACCCACAGGGGGGCTTCCACTGCCTGTGGTGCTGACAGCTGCCTTCAAACTAGTGGCAGGCCACCAGGGGCTCCCTCCCTGGGCCTCCGGCTTCTCTCCAGCATGGAAGGGAGAGAAGAGGGGAAAGAAAGGTAAGAAGACATGCCTCCTCGGATACAACGTAACACGCAATGCAGAGGGAACTGCATCGTGCCCTGTGGCATCGTGGCACCAGACAGGTAGGTAAGGGCTGCACGTGCGCACTCCTGCCTGGTTTGTACTGTCTCGCGCAGTTGAGGTGCAAACCAAAACAAAAACCCGGGCAGCTGCAACGAGCACAGGGACTGGCGCACATCCTCCTACAAACACCAATCCGGTGAAAGCTGGCAGAAGACGCGGGCACCTTGGTGATGACCATCTCACCAGCATCCTTCATGGCCAAGGTGCTCTCATGATAACGGACACACAATAAGCCATTTCTGCCAGCTGCTGGCTCACTCCCCACATGCCTGCAGCTGCTGGGGCTGGAACAGGCCAAAGCCAGAGAGCCACCGCACGACCCAGGTCCTCCACCCAGGCAGCAGGGGGAGACCCACAGACTCAGGCTGTCCCCAGGGCACACAGGGAGGCAGCTGGAACCGGAGCTGGGAAGTTGGGCTACGCTGGTGCTCCCGGGGCTACATGCACCCTGTTGGGTGGAGTTGTGCCTGGAGGAATGGATGAGGGCAGTTTCCGGCCATCCCAACGGTCCAGGGACAGAGGAACACACACAGCAGGGGTGACTGTCCAACAGATGGGGAGAGGCTGGTGGGCAGGCAGGGCCTCACGTGAGTCCCTCTGTTCTCCTGGTGGGCCTGGTTCACCTCATTGCCCCTGTCACCCACAAAGGACTCCCAAGACCAGTGCTGGAAGCGGCAAGAACCTGACTGTGCTTCCAGAGCTGGTGGGAGTCCAGGACTTTCCTTAAGCCACAGGCGGGGAGGAGATTAAGATGAACACCCCAAGGAAGGGGACCCAGTCTTGGGATCACACACCTGCTTGCTGGGACAGCAACAGCAGTGGGAAGATGGCTGCTCCCCGGGGAGTAGGGGAGGGAGGGCAGCGAGGACACTTGAAGGCCACAGGAAAACAGAGAGGACACTGGGGATGCTGATGTGCAGCTCAGGGCAAGAACAGGTGGCAGATAGGCGCGGCTGGACAAACAGCACCAGGAATCTACAGGTGCCGGGCTGCCTCAAGGGCCTGGGCCCTGGGCGTGCCTGGACGCGGGCGGGGCAGGGAGCTTTAGATGAACCAAGATCAAAGAGATGCTCAAAGGTTCCAGATAGAAAACAACCTTTGTCCGGAACTATCTCCCTGCCGACTCTGCCCTCAGCCTTGGACCCACACGTGCAGGTGCGGACAAGGGGGCCGACGGGGTGGACTGGCGGCTTCGGCCTGGGGGGCACTGGGGCCAGCCAGATACTGAGCAGGGGAAGGGCGGTGGGAGGGACATTCCACAGAGGGGAGAGAACCGAAGGAGGGGTGCGGGCGGATTACCCACCTCTGCAGGGGCAGTTTCTTCTCATTCCAAATCTACTCCCAGGAATACAGTCATTATGTATTTGAAAGACAGAGTTACAAAAAGAGAGGGGGGCGAGACAGGGATCTTCTATCTGCTGCAACAGGGGCTGCTGTGGGAGCTCCACAGGCTGAGGCCTCCCGCTGAGTGCAGGTTCACGTCCCAGTCTCTCCACTTCCCTCCCAGCTCCCTGCTTGTGGCCTGGCAAAGTGTCAGAGGACGTCCCAAAGCCTTGGGACCCTGCATCCACATAGGAGACCCGGAAGGAGCTCCTGGCTCCTGGCTTTGGATCAGATCAGCTCTGACTGATTCAGACACTTGGGGAGTGAATTCGAGGATACAAGATCATTGTCTGTCTCTCCTCTGTAAATCTGGCTTGCCAATAAAAATAGCTACAACAGCTGGAGCTGGGACTGGTCCAGGCCAGGACAGGCTGAAACTCCATCGTGGTCTTCCACACGGCCACAGGGGACCCAAGGATGTGGGCCATCTTCTGCTGCCTCCCCAAACATGCAAACAGGGACCTGGGGCCAAAGTAGAGCAGCTGGGATTTGAACCAGTACCTGTACGGGTATATGGGATGCCGACACTGCAAGCAGCAGCTTACCACAGTGCTGGCCCTTCAGGCCTAGCCTTTGAATCCAATGTGAAGCCTTAATAAGTGTCACTTATGAACATGTAAAGGACTCAAATCATGTATGTCCTGTAAATCAGCTTTTGGACATCACTTGAAAAATATCAGAATGAGGAAGTAAATCAAGAAAAGGTGACTAGGAAGCAGGAGATCCACCCAAGAGCACAGGCAGGCCAGCAGCTGGCCCGGGGAGCTCCACGGGGAGCCGGGCAGCAAGAGGGGGCACTGCAGACCCTACAGTACCACAGGGTGCAAAACTCAACAAGGTTGCAACCAGGGCAAATGGTTCAAGGAACAAAAAAGTTAACTGGAAATTTCTAGAAAAACCCAAGTGTGGCAGGCACCAAGTGTGGGTTATGGGGCAGGAACACGAGCTGGTCACTCCAGGGGTGTGAGGGAGAGAAGCAGGGTTGCGTCTCAGCACAGCAGCAGGTCAGCCAGCAGCCGAGGTTCCAGAGTGGCAGCAGCCAGCAGCGTCCACACACTGTCCAGGCACACGGGAGCCTCTCAGAGCAGCCAGCAGCTACACTCGCTTTTCTGCTGTCCTCTGCCTTTTACGTGGGGGCTGCCGGCCGACTGGCGGTTCTGAGCCCCAGCCTTGTCACTGTGCAGCCATGTTACCCAGGGCAAGGTGCAACCCATGGGCCACGCATCTGTGAAAAGGAGATGCGACTGACAGTGACTGTGGGTAGCTGGCAGCATAAGGACGTTTGACCCCACAAAGCCATTCAAAACCACCTGGCACATGAAATGCTCATGGCTTAAGCATCTCCCTGCTCCCTCACCAGGCACCTCGGGTCATTTCCACACTCAGGGGCCACCTAGGTATGTCTTGGTTTGTCACTAGGATGCTCGGGCCAGCAGCAGGAATGTGACTACCAAGGCCATTGTGGACCCCAAGGCTGTCACCGCTCATAGACAGCCAGGAGCCATACAGATCAATGGGGAAAGACTAAAAGTCACCAACTTTCACAGCTCCAGGCACAGAAAGGGCAGGAAGTTTGGCAGACCCAGAAGAGGCCTGTGGCCCCAGACCTGGAGAGAGCTGTACTGCACCTCACCCAGCAGGCCTTGCGGCCCCACCCCGTTCCCTCTGGGACAGCACCACAAGCCCAGCAGAGAGCCCTTGGCTAACAAATGAGTTGCTCTGGAAACAAACACTGATGGGTTGTGCACCTGACAGGCAGATGGGCTGCGCGAACATGGGGATCAACAGACTTGGCCTGGCTGCCGCCTGCAGTCCCCTTGGCACAGGAGACACAGAAGATGCAGGCCACGGCAAAGGAGAGGCCGCTCGCCCGCCCCGCTCCACAGCTGTTGGCTTGGTCCTCCTTACCTGCCCCGCTAGGCAGGTGTCTGAGACAGGTGCTTTAGCACATCAGAGCCGCTCTCACACACGTCCCAGGTGCTGCCCTCTGCTGGCCCAGCCCTACCGGGGACTCTGGATGAAGGAAAGCCAGACTTCACCTCCACACGGTCACACAGCCACACCGTCACGGCAAAGCCCACAAGTGGGGTTCTCACATTCCAAGCTACACGAGCAGAGTTCATAGTCAAGCACCCATAAAATCGCTTATGGTGTTTTCCAAGTGCAAAGCCCAAGTCCCCAAACCCATGAACGTAACCACCAAGCCTGCGTGTTGTTTCCAAAGGGGGGCCTCTGGCCAGCGTGCGCACCTGCCACCTCCCCTTCTGCCTTGAGGGCCCGGGGCTCCACCCTCAATGCGTGCAAAGCCCCCACCCACTCCAGTTTCTACCTTCACAAGTCGGAGTCACAAGACGAGAACATCCGGTGACACATTTCTCGCTCTCTATCCGTGTAGTCCTTGTAGTGGCTGCGGACAGAAGCACACCCATCAGGGAAGGGCCGTGTGAGGGAGGTGACACCTGGTGACGAGGCAGTGACATTGAGGGGAGAGGGACAGGGACAAAAAGCCCGTCTGAAGTTGGCGGCAATGTCAAGGCCGAGCCCGTGTGCGCCCCACGCTTGCTTGGTGGCTTCCGCCTCTCTTGGGATTGTCTTACTAAGCAATGGTCAAATCTCCAAATGTAGGCTTCCGAGGAAATAAACTGCTGGAAAACTACAGAAGACACGGAGTAGGGCAGGAGATCCAAACACCTTGGCCCAGACCACCACGCCGGCTTTCCCCGCACTCAAGTTCTCAGCCACCAGGAAAAGAAATTGACTGAAACGTCCCTGAATGCCGCGGCTCAGCCTGCAAGGGCCGGGCTTGTGGGAGACTCCGACTTGGCCTCAAGCCATTTTCAAAGCCTTCCCTATGATAACACTGAACTTGGAACCATCGCAAAACGACAAGACATAGCACCTTGCCACATGTGTGACAGTCACCTACAGGCAGGAATGCCACCTGGAAGGCCCGTGCCATGCTGGGAGGCCCCCTGAAGAACAAGCTCCTGTTGACGGCGGGTTCTGCCCACCCCTCTGGGGACACGTCCCCGCAGGGCTGGGGAGGGAGGACAGTGGGCGGGGAGCCTCACGGCCACCCTCTCACCTGGCCAGCTTCTTCAGCTCATTGTTGATGTCGTGGTTGAAGGGCTGCTCCTTCTGGGCTCGCACCAGAAAGTCCCGGGCCTTCTCGTATTCGGTCATGAGGAGGCAGGCCTGTCATGGGAGGCTGATGCTGAGAGCACCCTCGCAGGGCCTGCCGCCACCCCTCTAGCCCACGCTCAGCCGTCTGCACACTCTAGACCTTGCCTTGGTCTTGGGGAGTCCCCAGCACCCAGAAAAGCTCAGGGATAGAAGCACTCCCGGGAGAGGCGACCTCCGGTGCCCTCCTTTGGCTCACCTGTCCACACCTGAAGAGGGCCTTGGGGTTCCTCTGGTCGATGACCAGTGCCTGCTTGCCGTAGCACAGGGCCGGGGCCGGCCGCTCCAGCTTCAGGTATGTAAAGCACAGGTTGAGGAGGACGAGGAGCTTGGCGGCCTCCACCAGGGGGCGTTCCTCCGGGGTGGTGGCCCGGCGGTGCAGGAGCAGCAGGGCCTGGGGGTGCGGGGAGTGGAGAAGACACGGGGCCTGCAGGGGACACACCTCACATGTCCCAACAGCCAGCCCGTGGACCCACACCACTGAAGAAACACCCGCAGGAGGACTGCAGCTTGTGAACGCTGTTCTAGTTCAGTGCTCTAGTGATGAGCAACCCCAAAAGGAAACAACACCTCTATTAAACAGACCATCCAAAAATAATGACACACACACACACACACAAAATTAATAAAGCAACACACGTCACAGAATCACAATATTGTACATGGCAAATTATACACTGCTGCTGAAAGCACACAGCCGAGGAAAGCACGGACAGCGCGGGGACTGCCGGCAGAAAGAACAGCCCTCCTGAGCACACATCTGGCCCCGGCATCCTCATCCACAACACAAGGGGGCTCCCAGGTTCAACCCAAAAGGACCAGATTCAAAACACGGGGCTAGGGTGGTGGTGTCGTGCAGATAGCCGCCACCTGCTATGCTGGCATCCCACATGGGTTTCCAGTTCAAGTCCCGGCTGTTCCACTTCCAATTCAGCCCCCTGTTAAGGAACCTGGGACAGCAGCAGAGACTGCCCCAAGTGTTTGGGTCACTGCGACCATGCGGGAGACTTAGAAGAAGTTCCTGGCTTCAGTCTGGCCCCACCCTGGCCACTGTGATCGCGTGGGGAGTGAACTGACACACAGAAGATCTCTCTCTCTCTTCCCCTCCTTTTTCTCTTCAATAATTTTAAAAATATTTTATTTATTAAAAATGAAAAAAATTTAACAAAAGATCTTATTTACTTTTATTGGAAAGGCAGATTTACAGAGAGGAGATAGAGAAAGATCTTCCATCTTTCCACCCAGGATTTAGCCATTAGGCTATCACGGTAGGCGCTGGATGGAAGATTTTTCTCCCTCTCTCTCCTTCTTTCTGTAAGTCTGCCTTTCCAATAAAAATACATTTTTAAAAAAAAGACACAAAGAGAAGAAAACCTAGAAATTACAATCACAGATAACCAAAAAAAAAAAAAAAAAGCAAACAGGAAATATGGGGGAAAAAAGGAAAAAAAACAAACAGCCTTGGAAAACACTGTAATGAAACATCCATTAGATGGGATGGTTTAAAAACAAGCCAAGGAAAGCTCCCGGACAGTGGGACAACGAGCAGGAAACGGGCAGGGTGCAGCTCCACCCACCAGGTCTGATGGTCAAGTTAGAGAGACAAACAGGAAAAAGTAACAAGAACCCAGGACAGCTCCCAGAGCTGAGGAGAAAAGGAGCAGACACCTTGAAGACTCAAGAGAACACAGTCTCTCTCACACACACCAGGGTACCACCTAACACTAGTGGGAAAGGAACTGAACTCCTGGCTTCTCTGCAGAGCAAGGTCACATGTAAGGAACAGCAAAGCCCAGCCGCCGTCCTTTAGGGCCGCCGAGAGCCACAAAGGCATGGGGCGCCGTCAGAGGCAGGAAAGCCCTGGCCAGCACCTCGGGACAGCCGCAGGGCAGGAGCCCCACCCAGGGCCCATCACTCAAAGGGGGTACTAGTGCTCAAACGGACACCTGGCACCGTGGGGAAAGCCAGGCAGGAAGTGGACCTCAAGAGCCGAGGCGGCTGGGCCGAGCAGCAGCCTCACCTCGTTCAGTGACAGCCCCGAACGCCGACCCCAGGCTAGGGGGCCACCCTCTGCCAGCGCCAGCCTGAGTGAACAGCAGACATCACCACAAAGTGACTGCCTCTGGGGGCCAGGCTGGGCGCAAGGACGCAGGATGTGGGGAATCTGTGTGGCATTTCCTGTGGGACACACCTTCTTCCAGGAAGCAAATGACAAGTCACAGAGACGTGATGGAAACCCTTACCGTCCTGGCCTGCGCTGGCTCGGGGTGGACACCACCCACAGTACACAACTCCCTTCCTCCCCACGCCCTGCCCACTGTCACACGCAGCTACTGGCATGTGGCATGTAGACATAGAGAAAGTTTCTCTCGGGGAAGTGAAGTAACTGTGAGGTGGGAACTTCTGGAATGTTCCGAATCGAGACGCAGCAAGCTTCTCTCCCTTTCGGGCAGCCTGAAGGGTGACTCACAGCAGGTCAGAAGGGCGCTGGTGCCACACTCTGCCAGCCTCGGTGCTGTCCACACTCCTCTCCCCCCAGGAAGGAGCCGAGTTACAAGCAGCAATGGGGTGGCCTAGGCGGCAGCTCAGACACCCTGGGGACCCCAGCCTGGAGTGACCACACTCCTCATTGCTAAACTTCACTTTCCAGAGCAACAAGTTGGCAGGCTGACTAAGGCACACACATGGCCACCAGCGACGCCCCAGCGCACACTCAGCACATGCCACAACGAGCATACCCGCGGGCCAGCCTTCAGAAGGAAGCACGTGCCAGTTCTCACTGCCTCCCTTCCCTGGTCCCCTCTCCACAAAACGTTTTTCTTTTCTTAAGATTTACTTGGGCCTGGCACAGTGGCCTAGTGGCTAAAATCCTCGCCTTGAACGCACCGGGATCCCATATGGGCACCGGTTCTAATCCCGGCTGCTCCACTTCCCATCCAGCTCCCTGCTTGTGGCCTGGGAAAGCAGTGGAGGACGGCCCAAAGTCCTTGGTTCCTGCTCCCGCGTGGGAGACCCTGAAGAAACTCCTGGCTTCAGACTGACTCAGCTCTGGCTGTTGTGGCCACTTGGGGAGTGAAGCAACAGACAGAAGATCTTTGTTTCTCCTCTCTGTAAATCTACCTTTCCAATAAAGATAAATGTATCTTTAAGAATAATAGCCCCCGTGCCTTCTGTTTTTAGATTTTGCGGTTCTGAAGGTCTTCCATGTACGTTCCTGAGCATGCACTAGTTACAGCTCCAGGCACAGCTAGGCCACTGGCAAGCATGAGGTGTAACTCCAACAGGTGCACTGGGTACTAGAGTGCAACCTGGCTCAGACCCTGCAGGGGGCGCTCTCCTCCATCTCCTCTCCAACGACACACCACATCGCATTGCCAGTTTTCACCCAAATCCACTAGAGCAGTTGTGGGTTTGGGTTTTGCTTTTTGAAGGCATGGCAAGAGAGAGTGAGGTGGACCCACCACAACAGCAGAGAAAAGAAAATGTGTTCTCGCGTTGTTTCCACTTAATACACCAACACCCAACTTACCCGTTTATAGCGCGATTTGGCATCACAGAAGCGATTCTGGCGGAAAAGGTGGTTGCCAAACTCACGCTCGGTGGCTGCCACCTTGAGGACCTTCTGAAGTGGAAACTGGTCTTGCTGCTCCTGGGGATCACAAAGGTGAAGACTGGCTACCCAGGGACCCTGAAAACAGACTAGCCAGCCAGGGACCCCGAAAGCAGGCTGGCCCACAGGCGTGTGTGCGGGCTCTGCCAGGCGACACTGCAGCCACACACACTCAGGGCAACTGACCCCCACAAGGTTTCCTGCAGCAGAAACTGGGCCAACCCGGTGGGCACAGCCATCGGGGGGCCCCCAGCAAGCACTAACCAGGTCTGTGTGGTCAGGCAGCTCAGCCCTGGCTGCCAATTAGTCCCCCACAGGGCTTCTGGTCCTGGTGCCATTGCAGACATGAGCTGTGGGACCAAAGCATGTGTGCTACTCTGGGGGTACCACCCTCCAAGCAGTGTCCACAACTGTTCCTGGCATCACCAAGCCTGGGGCCAGGGCACAAGGCCACCGAGACAAGGCCAGACCTACGCTTGAAGGATAGTGACCACAAATCCTGGTTGGCCTGAGGCTGTCCCAGCTTCCCCCTGGGGTCCTGGGTGCGGCACCAATGTCCCAGACTGGGATGGCCTGTCATAGGTACCCCAGTCAGCAGCTACCCACGTTCCACCTGCTAGAAACCAAACCCAGTTGTAGAAAGCCAAAGCTCGCCCTCTAGTGAGAAGGACAAAGCAAAGCGGGCCTGTGAGCTCCCACTGCCCGCATGGCTTGGCACCCCCTGCCAGGAGACCCCAGGCGTGGCCTGGCACTTACAGCAGACAAGGCACAGAACTTGTCAGACTCGGCGGAGTCCAGGAAGTCCAGCAGCTCGATCTCAAACAGCACGGTGCTGTTGGGGGGGATCAGCGGCGGGCAGCCCAGCGCCCCATAGGCATAGTTTGGGGTGAACAGGAAGCGGGCCAGCTCACCGCGGCGCATGCTCAGCAGGCCCAGCTCCATGCCCCACAGCGTGATGTCTGTGGGGAGATGGAGAAAGCGGTTCCAGTGCCCCACCTCAAGCTCCGTTCTCCCTGACACACGGCAAGCCTCCTGAGCCAGTGATGGTGTCCCCAACGGACCCTGCTGGCATCAGCGTCCCCAAGCACAGCCCACCATCCAGCCTCCACCACCTCCTTGCCCCGGGGCTTCACATCAATCTTCATGGCTCACTGCCAATGCCTCTTCTTCCAGGAGCCTCCCCTGATCCTCTCAGTTGAAATTATTTTAGGAATGGGGACTATCCAGCCCCCGAGTTCTATAAGACCTACAAGGTCATTTGGTGTGGCCCTGCCAAGGCAACTGCAGGTGGGACTGGTGGCATGGCATACTAAGCTATGCCTCTGCCTGCAGTGCAGGCATCCCCCATATGGGCACCAGTTCAAATCCCAGCTGCTCCACTTCCCATCCAGCTCCCTGCCTGTGGCCAGGAGAGCAGTGGTGGATGGTCCAAAGCCTTGGGACCCTGCACCCACATAGGAGACCTAGAAGAAGCTCCTGGCTCCAGTTTTGGGGAATGACTCAACAGATGGAGGATCTTTCTCTCTCTCTCTTTCTCCTTCTCTCTGTAATAAATAAATCTTTAAAATAAGTAAGTAAGTGAATATGCCAATGGGCAGAAAAAGTTTCCCAGCTGACCCAGGCCTTCCTCAAGCACAGCTGCTGCTAACTACCAGCCCACCTGACTCTCGCCTGACCCCACCCCGTGGGCTGCCTGAGGGTGGGGGCAGGGCATGTCGCTGGCCACCACCACAGCTGTGACCTCCACACCACCACAACACTATCTTCTCAAGATTTCCTTCATCAGCCAGGCCTCAGATCCCGAGATAAACTGGCCAGGGCTGTGCCCCAAAACCCCCAAGTCTCGGGGAGGTGGGTGCAAACATGAGTGAGGAGGTGACCGCCTGATCGACCCCCAGTCTCAGGGAAGGAACAAATAAAAACAACTCCAAGAACACGGCATTGGGACTCCTGCCCCGTCCTCCACACGACGACACCCCAAGAAAGCCACACGCACCCCTCCTTCCCACCCCTGACTAGCAGATATACCCTCTCCAAGTTTCATGAGTCGCGGTGTTTTCCGGAAGCAATTCGAGTCAAAGGGTTTGTCCATGTGCTCCAGGTAGCCTGAATATTTGACTACGACCCAACAGAGACAATAAATTATAATACAGATAAAATCGACAGAGGGGCCTCTCCCCTCTTTCTCCCTCACCAATAGTGGCTCCCATACCTGGCCTTGGGTTTGGGGATGCATTGTTGCTGCTGGCACTGGGCAAAGAGGAGGAAAAAGGGGCCCCTGTGTTTCCTCTTAAATCCAACTGTGGGTGGCCGGAGGGAGTCAATGGGTAGGGGGGTGGCTTCTCTCTGCCCTGCCCCCCAGCAATGCAATCGCACCTGTTTCGGGGGTCCCAGCCCTCACCTAGCACCGAGGCGTCCGGCGTCACCAGCTCTCCGACACCTTCTCGGATGACGTCCTTCAGCACGCCACGGTCCCCGGAAATGTCCAGCATCCTCTGACTTAACCGCTGGTACACAGACTGGGGGGATGGAGAAGAGTGGGTACCACAAGCCAGGCCTCAGGGCCTGGGGGTGTACTCGGCTTGGGGCATGCCTCTTCCCCGCTTTTCCCAGCCCCCCAACAGCAGCGTGTCCTCGCCTGGCCAGGAGCACCGGCCCCTCCGAGGCCCAGCCCTCCCCTGCACACACCATGTCCACGCCACGCGGCCCTGGAGAGCCCACGGTGGCTGCAGGTGGAGGGGGAGCCCGGCCATACCACGCAGTCCTCTCCCGACGGGGCCATCCCGTCCCGGGGCCGCGTGAAGACACTCATGGCGTCGCCCAACCGACACCGAAAGCTCCGGAACCGTGGACGCCGCGGACACGTGTGGGCGGGCCGCGGGGGGGGGGGGAAGGGCGCGGTCACGTGAGCGAGCGTGATGACGCACACGGAGGCCATCATGGCGCCGCCCTGGTGCACGCGCTGGGACCACGCAGTCGCTCACGGGGCTCGTGGGGACCGGGACGAGGCCGGGACGTCCCGCCGCATGGAGAGCAGCACCTGCGGAGGGCCTGGAGCCGCGGATGCGAGGGAGGCAGGCGGCTGCAGCAGGCCTGCAGGGTGGTGGCCTCTTCCCCGCGCCTGGAGAGCCTGAGGCCACGAGGGCAATGTCCAGTCGCCAGATCCTGAGAGGACTTCGTACGTTCTTAAACATTTATTCATTTTTATTGGAAAGAGAGGAGGAGAGACAGAGAGGAAGATCTTCCATCCGATGATTCACTCCCCAGTGGCCACCATGGAGCTGCCCCATCCGAAGCCAGGAACCAGGCGTCTCCTCCAGGTCTCCCATGTGGGTGCAGGGTCCCTCCCAAGGCTTTGGGCCATCCTCGACTGCTTTCCCAGGACACAAACAGGGGGCTGGATGGGAAGCAGGACTGCTGGGATTAGAATCGGTACCCATATGGTATCCCAGTGCGTGCAAGGTGAGGACTTTAACTGCTAAGCTGCCACAATGAGCCCAACTTCTTTTGTTTCTTAAAGATTATTTATTAACTTGGCGTGAAGTACTATGTTGAATCTACAGAAAAACTTGCACCTGCCCCCTGGGGGTTAAGGTCGAGGCTGTTGGTTTCCCAGGTCTCTCTTGCCCACTGCAGGGCCCAGCTGTTCTTGGTATCCCCTCCTTCGATGGTCCCAAGGTTTGGGACCGTCCTCCCGGGCACCAACCACCTTGCTGGGTTTCCTCTGTCCCTGCCGGCTGTCCCTTCTAGTTACCCCCTAGAGCCCTCTGCTGTTTGTTTTCCTTCTTTTTAAAGGTTTGTTTACTTTGGAAGCATTAACCTAGAGGCAGAGAGAGATCTTCCATCTGCTGGTTCACTCCCCAGATGCCTGCAATGGCCAGCTCTGGCCAGACCAAAGCCAAAAGCTTCCTCCAGGTCTCCCACATGGCTACAGGGGGCACAAGGCTTTGGGCTATCTCCTGCTGCTTTCCCAAGTGCTAAGCAGGGAGCTGGAAGGGAAATGGAGCAGCCCAGGATACAAACTGGCATCCATATGGGATCCTGGCACATGCAAGGTAAGGACTTTAGCCACTAGGCTACCGGGCCGGGCCCATTGTAAGGCCTAGGTGAGGTGGGTAAGGGGCAGCCCAGGAGGAGGCTCAGAAAGGTGGTGATCAGGCCGCACCTGGACAATGCAGCCGCTCCTCAGCCGAGCAGTGATGCTTGGACTCACCAAGGCCGAAAGGAACCTGTAGCACTCTGTAGCACCATATAAGGCACATTGCTTTGTCAGCCGAACCCCACCTTTACAGCCCCCTAATAAAAACAACCCCTCACGTTCGCCAGGTGCAGACTCCCTGCTGTCTGTACTGGACCAGTGAACCTTGCCTGGGAGTGCTCCCGATAAAGCTTGTTATTTTTTTTTTAAAGATTTATTTATTTTTATTGGAAAGACAGATATACAGAGAAGAGAGAGAGAGAAAGATGTCGCGTCTGATGGTTCACTCCCCAAACAGCCACAATCGCTGGAGCTGAGCCAGTCCGAAGCCAGGAGCCAGGAACTTCATCCAGGTCTCCCATACGGGTGTAGGATCCCAAGGCTTTTGGCCATTCTCCACTGCTTTCCCAGGCCACGAGCAGGGAGCTGAATGGGAAGCAGGGTCCTCGGGATTAGAACCAGTGCCCATATGGGAACCCGGCACGTTCAAGATGTGCCACTATGCTATTGCACTGGGCCCCCAGTAAAGCTTGTTATAAGCTGAACTTCACATGGTGTAAATTCTGAAGCCAGGTGCCAGGAACTCCCCCCAGGGCTCCCAGGCGAGAAGCAGGGATCCAACGGTTGAGACGTCCCCACGGCTGGCTCCCAGAGGCTGTGTTAGCCGGAGGCTGGTGCTGGGATTTGAACCCAGGCACTCCACCTTGGGTGCAGGCGCCGCACCTGCTCCAGTGAGAACTCTCCTCTTTCCAGCCTCAGGGCCTGGGCACCTGCAGCATCTCCCAAGTCTGGCTCCACATTTACCTTTAGGTGTCAGCTCAACCTGCCGCTCCTCAAAGATTTCGCTCCGCCCCTGCCTAAAGCGGTGCCTCGCACACCTGTCTCCCCACTCCTTCCTTGCTCCCTACCCTGCTTACTTCCTGCAAAACATTTATGTCGATCCTGAGGCCTGACAGCAGCGCTGACCCTTCCCCTACGTTCTAAACTCCTGGAGGACGGGGCCCTTGCCAGCCCTCTGTCTGACGCACTGCAGCGGCTCGGTGCATGTAGTTGAGTTAAACAGCCTCCCACCCGCCTACCCCAGGCTTTGAACTGGCCTGTGCCCGGGGTTCAGAGAATAGCTCACTGACTGCCAGGGCCTGTGGGTCCATGGTCTGGTGTTCTAGAACTCTCTGTCTCTGATCACTCCTGGAACCTGTCCCCCGCCAGTCCTTTCCCGTCAGTGAGTTCTGGCACCCTTACTGGTGAGAGTTGATAACCCTGTAACAGATTGCCATGGAATTTCTATTTAAAAATATACAGATACATTGATTTGTTTTCATTTGAAAGGCAAAGTTACAACAGAGAGATAAGGTGAGACAGGGAGCTCTTCCACCTGCTTATTCACTCTTCAAGTGGCTACAGTGGTCAGAGCTGGGTCAGCCCCGAGGAGAGGAGCTCCTGTCTCCCACAGGGGTGCAGGGTCCCAAGGCTTTGGGCCGTCTTCTGCTGCTTTCCCAGGCCACAAGCAAAGAGCTGGATGGGAAGTGGAGCAGCAAGGGAACTTTTTTTTTATAAAGATTTATTTATTTTTATTGGAAAGTCAGATGTATATATATATATATATATATATATGGAGAGAGAGAGAGAGAGGAGGAAAGACAGAGAGAAATAGCTTCTGTCCGATGATTCACTCCCCAAGTGACCGCAGTGGTCGGTACTGCTCCGATCTGAATCCAGGAGCCAGGAACTTCTTTCTGGGTCTCCCACGCAGGTGCAGGGTCCCAAGGCTTTGGGCTGTCTTCCACTGCTTTCCCAGGCCACAAGCAGGGAGCTGGATGGGAAGTGGAGCTGCCAGGATTAGAACCGGCGTCCATATGGGATCCTGGTACATTCAAGGTGAGGATTTTAGCCACTAGACCACTGCGCCAGGCCCAGCAGGGGAACTTGGACCAGCATCCTTACGGGATGCTGGTACTGCACACGCACACTTACTGTGTCCTGGCAGTCCTGGCATTGAACTTCCCAGCCTTGAAAGACATTACCAAGAAGAAGTTCATGCCTGGAAACACCCTGGAGGCTGGGTGTCTGCTGGGAGCACTTCAGGGGGATTGTGTTCAAATTCATGTACAAATTGGAAGCAGGCCTCTGAGTGGCCAGAGGCTGAATGGGGTGATGGGCATGCTCACTGGAGGCTGTGCCTAGGGGAAGGCACCCAGGGAGCCTAGCGGGCGCTGAAGTGGAGACCAATATATCCACATGGGGCGGGGGGGGGCAGCAAATTGGATGGGAGGGTGGCACTTTTTGCAAGTTCTATCTGCATTAAACAAATTGAAATAGGTACCTAGGGGCCAATGCATTGGCTCAATTGGCTAATCCTCCACCTCTGAGCCTGGTTAGGTCCTGACTGCTCTGCTTCCCATCCAGCTCCCTGCTTGTGGCCCAAAGTAGAGGATGGCCCAAAGTCTTGGGACCCTGCTTTCACATAGGAGACCCAGAAGAAGCTCCTGGCTCCTGGCTTCGGATCAGCTCAGCTCTTAGACGTTATAGCTACTTGGGTAGTGAACCAGCAGATGGAAGATCTTTCTGTCTCTCCTCTCTTTAAATCTGCTTTTCCAATAGAAAAAAAAATTTTTTTTAAGGATTAGGTTAATAAAAGCACCTTTAAAACATTCAAAACAAAGCAAAAACAAGAGCAAGCAGGTCTCAGCAGTGTGCACTCCCACTTGGGTCTGTCAGGTGTGGCCGTGGGGGAGGCCCCCACCTCCCCCTCCATCCCCCACCCCCACCCTGGCCAAGGCCGACACCGGAATGTCGCTGTTATCAGAGCGGACCCAGCAGAGGCTGCCTCCCCAGTCCCGTGACGTGACGTGACCCACTTTCCACCTGAGTCTGGGTGACCTTGAGCAGGGGTGGAAGCGAGGGGCGGAGACCCGGTACCTGCCAGCTCCCGGTCTGCCCTGCCGTCCCAGGGGGAGGACGACAAGACCCGGCAGCCGCGTCGGTGATGCTGTCCTGAGGCCCCACGGGTTCTGAGGAGCCAGGCAGTGCGGTGGGTGTCGGGGTCCTGCCCTGGTCTGCCCCTGACCTTGGCCTGGGTGTTTTGCCTCTCTCAGCTGCCGGTCAGTTTGCATGGTGCGGCGTGGGAGGGGGAGGTATGGGCGGTGAGGACAAATTTCCCTTAGGTCCTGGAGACTGGGGGACAGAGGGACTTGTACTGGGACAGAACTCCTTGTGGTGGTGTGGCAGCGGATCTAGGGTCAAGGCAAACTCTTGAGACCCCCCCCCCGGAGGTGGCACTTGGGAAGCTGTATCCCAGCTGGGGTGACTCAGAAGTGGCAGCAGGTGGAAAGGACTTGGTCACTTTGGCTTGGCCAGTACCAGCTCTGCACACTGCTGGGGTGGAACTGGCAACATTAAAGTCCACCCAAGTCCAGATGACCACTTTCTCCCTGAAGCCTTCTGTTTCCCAGGTGGGGGAAAGAGGCCCCCTTCTTGGGGGTGGGGGGAGTGGGTTAGTGCAGAAATGGGGGGGAGGTTGGCCCCTGGGGTTGGGGGACTCCTGGAGAAGGGGCAGAACAAGCTGAGGTTTGGCCACGGACCTGCCCATGTTGCAGCCCGCAGCGTGGATGGCT